GTGTCCTCTTTTGGAAGGCCAAACAAAGTAGTTTCGCTTTCACAACGAAACACACGGCGGGCTAGAGTGAGCAGAGATTGGAGGCCTAGAGTGAGTGGAGGCCGGCTTCAGTGGGCAACCACATCCGATCCGGCGATCGACAGCGTGAAGTTGATGTATTTCCTCAGTGACCAGCACGGATCAGCTCCAGGCATGACGAAGCAGATATCGTCCTCTTTTGGAAGGGCATGACATGGAGGAGGCAGCAACAACAATACTACAGCGAGAATAAAAGTTACGCCTTCTTTCTTTGCGTGAACATTTGGGCGGCGTTATGCAAATCTTTCCACATAGTGACGTAGACATGTGGGGCCGTGTTAGAACGAGCCGTTTTAGGTAGGCGTGGTTGACTCTTAACTTTTATAAAGAATATCTCTTTGGATTTGAGACTTTAGTCTTTGCAACTTTACAGATCTTCTTTATGCACCAAGAGCTTGTAACACTCCAAAGAGAAAGGAAAAATTTAAATCACATCATATGACCCCTTTAACATTGTTTTCCACTTGCTGCCTTTGTGTTACAAAAATATTGCAGCAGCAACCTAAATTGCTTTAACATATTTATCAGTAAAAGGGACAGGAAATTCCAGACAGATGCTATATACATGCATATTGTGGGAACTGTTAAGTGGCGTACATGTGTTTGACTCCCATCCATTAGGAAATCATCAGTGCAGCAAACAAAAACCTTTTAGTGCGTTTAGTGAGCAGAACACTTAGGATTGCTCCAGAGGAACCGTCCCTGCAGCGCTGTATTATGCTTGTTACAAATTGTATTTTTTTTAGTCGGGTCTACACTACTCTATTTTTTTTTAATTCAACAAGGATGCATTCAAATATAAAGTTCTGTCACAAAACGCTAGATGGCGCAGGCCGATAGGTGCTAACTCAATCTGATATAATCACTTCATCATTCACATGGCACAGCTGATTTCTTTCTTTCACATCAGCAGCCAATGAGCTTGCTGCTCTACATTCAAATACTTGTGCTAGTGCTTGCTGTAGCAGTTGCAGCGCGCTTCAGAAACCCTCCACCTTCCCCAGCTCCACCTGTATTGATCTGTTTGGGGGTAATTTCATGTATGTTACATATGGGGGTTATTTCATGTATGTTAGATGTGAGATATATATATATATATATATATATATATATATATATATATATATATATATATATATATATATATATATTAGAGGATTAGAGGGCTTTAACATATTTATCAGTAAAAGGGACAGGAAATTCCAGACAGATGCTATATACATGCATATTGTGGGAACTGTTAAGTGGCGTACATGTGTTTGACTCCCATCCATTAGGAAATCATCAGTGCAGCAAACAAAAACCTTTTAGTGCGTTTAGTGAGCAGAACACTTAGGATTGCTCCAGAGGAACCGTCCCTGCAGCGCTGTATTATGCTTGTTACAAATTGTATTTTTTTTAGTCGGGTCTACACTACTCTATTTTTTTTTAATTCAACAAGGATGCATTCAAATATAAAGTTCTGTCACAAAACGCTAGATGGCGCAGGCCGATAGGTGCTAACTCAATCTGATATAATCACTTCATCATTCACATGGCACAGCTGATTTCTTTCTTTCACATCAGCAGCCAATGAGCTTGCTGCTCTACATTCAAATACTTGTGCTAGTGCTTGCTGTAGCAGTTGCAGCGCGCTTCAGAAACCCTCCACCTTCCCCAGCTCCACCTGTATTGATCTGTTTGGGGGTAATTTCATGTATGTTACATATGGGGGTTATTTCATGTATGTTAGATGTGAGATATATATATATATATATATATATATATATATATATATATATATATATATTAGAGGGCCAAAGATGAAAATTGATTTTTAGGCATCAAAACAATAAAAGTTTAATACAGCTTTAAATTTAGTTTTTTTTTCTGTACATTAGAATGTGCCATGTTTACATTTTTTTTTCTGAGCAAAAACTAATGAGTATCATACATTTTTACCATGATTTACAAAAGACACCCATTGAAATATAATTCAGTCTAATAATAGTTTAAATACCAGAAAAATCTTGTCAGGTATATTTAGAAGAAGATGGCATTGTCATTTTAAATCTTTACCAATCTTTGCCCGCTATCCTTCAAACCTAGGTTTTACCCAAGAAGTTTTTAATTATTTACAATATAATACATTTTGTATGATCACTTTTCCTTTTATATATTTTAATGAGTACAAGTCAGAATATATTCAAATAGAAAACAGCTATTTTAAATTGTAATAATATTTCACAATATTACTGTTTTTACCGGCATTTTTGCAGCCTTGGTGAGTATAAGAGACTGCTTTCAAAAACACAAAAAATCTCACAGATCCCAAATCTTTAAATAGTGTATGATTTTCATCGCAGATGATAAAACAGGTGAAAAATTTTGGCTTGGACCAATAAACAACCACACAAAACACACTAGTAACTGTATATCTGTCACATCTATGTTCAACCACGACCCGTGACAATATCAACCACTGAGAACACTTTTACAACCACATTGCAACTCCCTGACAACCACATACAGCACACTAGCTGTTAAGGAGTATGTAAGGAACACAGCACCCAGTTTTCTCATTCTTCTCCTCATTTTGTAATGCAAAAAATTAATAAAGTTTGATTAATAGAGCAGTTAGAGAGATCTGAAACACTGGAGCACATCTAACTAAACGCATTCAAAAATATACATATGCTATTGGTAATAGGAAAAGTCTGTGAGGCTGTTAATGTGATTTACTGTGCAAGCCAATAGAACACTTGTCATTAAGTGTGTTCATCTGAGAGGTTATTGTTTTTTTTTTATTTATAAGTTCTTTTAAATTATTCCAGAATTTACTGCTAGATTGGGCAGTGTTGTCTCTCTATCACGGATGGTGTCCATCTATTGTTTGTGTGTAAGAGCGTGTTGATTGCCTGAGTCAGTGAGGAGCAGAGAGCAGGAGACAGGACATCCTGAGCAGGGTTTGTGCCAAGCCGTCAGAGCCCTCAGGACCCAATGTGATGTCGGCTAATGGTTTGTGTGAAGACTCCTGGAAGGAGGTTTTTGGTAACAAGCACCAAGGATTTTTTTTAAGTGTAATTCTGGAAATTAATAAGATTTCAGGATTTTTGGTAAATTTGTACCAAATTTATGGTACAAAAAAGGTGACAGATGGTCAGATGTTTAAACACAACATGCCCTTTAGATCATTCGCAAATTATGCTGGATGATCATCACGCTTTGAACGTGGACCTCATGCAGCTGCTTTCATTAAACCAAACAGCGACATACTAAATACTAAGAAGTTCTTCTGAGCTTCACGGTAGTTTCTCAAACTTTTCACTTAAATTATGTTGAAAACTAATTGAAATGATTAGTTCTGGTCCTCAAATTGGATTGGTTGAATGGCTTTCCAAGACTGGTATGCGAGTTGGTACAGTGGTGACAAGTGAGTCACTGAATCTTTCATTCAACCATTTTGTTCAAAAATACAAATTAATTCAGGTACAAAATAAAAAAAGAAAGAAACTTGGAAAATCACGTCGAAAATTTACAGTGCAGTTCAAACTAAAAAATCTGGTAAGTTATGTTAATGTTTTTAAAGTAAGTCTCTTGTGTTCACTCAGGCTGCATATTGATCAAAAATACAGTAAAACATTTATATTGTGAATTTTTTTTACAATTTAAAATAGCTGTTTTTATATTTTAAAAGTGTAATTCTGGAAATGAATAAGATTTCAGGATTTTTGGTAAATTTGAACCAAATTTATGGTACAAAAAAGGTGACAGATGGTCAGATGTTTAAACACAACATGCCCTTTAGATCATTCGCAAATTATGCTGGATGATCATCACGCTTTGAACGTGGACCTCAAGCAGCTGCTTTCATTGAACCAAACAGCGACATACTAAATACTAAGAAGTTCTTCTGAGCTTCACGGTAATTTCTCAAACTTTTCACTTAAATTATGTTGAAAACTAATTGAAACGATTAGTTCTGGTCCTCAAATTGGATTGGTTGAATGGCTTTCCAAGACTGGTATGCGAGTTGGTACAGTGGTGACAAGTGAGTCACTGAATCTTTCATTCAACCATTTTGTTCAAAAATACAAATTAATTCAGGTACAAAATAAAAAAAGAAAGAAACTTGGAAAATCACGTCGAAAATTTACAGTGCAGTTCAAACTAAAAAATCTGGTAAGTTATGTTAATGTTTTTAAAGTAAGTCTCTTGTGTTCACTCAGGCTGCATATTGATCAAAAATACAGTAAAACATTTATTTGTGAATTTTTTTTACAATTTAAAATAGCTGTTTTTATATTTTAAGATGTAATTCATTACTGTGATGCAAAGCTGAATTTTTAGCATCATTTCTCCAGTCTCCAGTGTTACATGGTCCTTCAGAAATCACTCTAATATGGTGTTCAAGTAACATTTATTATTATCATCAGTGTTGAAAGCAGTGTTGGAGTTTACAAAATAAAAAAAATGACCACATTAGCAATAAACTGGATGTTGTTTTTCAATGCATTGAACTAAGTGTTTCATCTGTTGCAGTGGACGCAGCTTTTCGGCAGCTGCAGACTGATGTGGAAAATCACCTTTCAGATCAGCGGAGAGGAGAGCGTCTGCACAGCGGCGTTCAGGTGGGCATCGCCCGGAAGCACCAACGTGGGCAAGAGCAGCCTGCTTAACATGCTCAATAAGATCAATCTGTCTGAAATATTCAATTATGCTAAATCTGACATGCCAAATATAATGGCTTTGTGTTTAGCAAAATCCTTGCTTCATACAGAATAGTGGTTCTCAACTGGTTTTGCTTCAGGATCTGATTTTACACTTGATATTGTGTGTGTGGTGACCCAACAGCAGCATATTATCATACTGAAGTAAAAATAAAAATCCATAAAATCAAACACTGAAATGTATTTACTTAATAATAATTAATTAATTTACAAAACATAAGTATCTAAAAATATACAGAACTGTGCAAAAGTCTTAGTCCACTAGTATTTTCACCAACAAAAAAATGGTTTTAAGTCAGTTATTTCTATCTTTTGCTTCTGTATGTCAGTAGGAAAAATCAGTTACATTTCCAAATATTCCTTTTCCTATTAATTGTAATATTCCAGTGAGATTTTTGCTTGCAGAAGGAGTCTGACAGCAGCCAGTGCTCCACACAGAGATCTGATCTGATCATCATCCAGTCTATCTGTGATTACATGAAGAAACAGAACAAACTGAGACAGACTCAATCCAGAAGAACTGTGGCAACATCTCCAAGATGCTTCAAGAAACCTTCCTGCAAAGCTACCTGAAAAAATATGCGTAAGTGCCCTCAGACAAAAAGCTGTTTTAAACGTAAAGGGTGCTCACACCAAATGTTGATTTGATTTAGTTAAGAGAAAATAATTGATAAATCAAATCTATTTATGACATTATCTTTGAAAGCATCCTCACTTTACAGAATTCGTACACAAGTGCCTAAAACTTTTCACAGCACTGTAGCTTTGCAGGAAGGTTTCTTGAAGCATCTTGGAGATGTTGCCACAGTTCTTCTCGATTGAGTTTGTTTCAGTTTGTTCTGTTTCTTCATGTAATCACAGACAGACTGATGATGCTGAGATCAGATCTCTGTGTGGAGCACTGGCTGCTGTCAGACTCCTTGTGCAAACAAAAATCTCACTGAATTATTACAATTAATGACAAAAAGAGTGTTTGGAAATGTAACTAATATTTCCTACTGACACACTTCAGCGAAAGATAGAAATAACTGACTTAAAAGTTTTTTTTTGTTTTGGTGAAAATACTTAGACTTTTGCACAGTAGTGTATATTTATATATTATTTAATTATTAAATATATGACATATATATTTAATAATTAAATTATATAAACATATATCTGTATATATTATTAAATAGTAATATTTATTATAAATATTATTTTAACAATTTATGTCACATTTTTGAATTATTTAGTTATTTAAAATCCAATGAGTCACTGCACAAAGCACAGTTAGTACAAGCTGTTTATCTTTGCTGCACGTGAACCCACATTTAATCTGGATTGTATTTTCTTTTATTTTGAATAGTTTTGTTCATCGGCGTAATTTGGCATCTTCCAAAACAACAGATAAGTAAGTGCTGAAAGATTTTATTGGCTGTACATTTTTGGTAAATTTGAACCAAATTTATGGTACAAAAAAGGTGACAGATGGTCAGATGTTTAAACACAACATGCCCTTTAGATCATTCGCAAATTATGCTGGATGATCATCACGCTTTGAACGTGGACCTCAAGCAGCTGCTTTCATTAAACCAAACAGCGACATACTAAATACTAAGAAGTTCTTCTGAGCTTCACGGTAGTTTCTCAAACTTTTCACTTAAATTATGTTGAAAACTAATTGAAATGATTAGTTCTGGTCCTCAAATTGGATTGGTTGAATGGCTTTCCAAGACTGGTATGCGAGTTGGTACAGTGGTGACAAGTGAGTCACTGAATCTTTCATTCAACCATTTTGTTCAAAAATACAAATTAATTCAGGTACAAAATAAAAAAAGAAAGAAACTTGGAAAATCACGTCGAAAATTTACAGTGCAGTTCAAACTAAAAAATCTGGTAAGTTATGTTAATGTTTTTAAAGTAAGTCTCTTGTGTTCACTCAGGCTGCATATTGATCAAAAATACAGTAAAACATTTATATTGTGAATTTTTTTTACAATTTAAAATAGCTGTTTTTATATTTTAAGATGTAATTCATTACTGTGATGCAAAGCTGAATTTTTAGCATCATTTCTCCAGTCTCCAGTGTCACATGGTCCTTCAGAAATTACTCTAATATGGTGTTCAAGTAACATTTATTATTATCATCAGTGTTGAAAGCAGTGTTGGAGTTTACAAAATAAAAAATGACCACATTAGCAATAAACTGGATGTTGTTTTTCAATGCATTGAACTAAGTGTTTCATCTGTTGCAGTGGACGCAGCTTTTCGGCAGCTGCAGACTGATGTGGAAAATCACCTTTCAGATCAGCGGAGAGGAGAGCGTCTGCACAGCGGCGTTCAGGTGGGCATCGCCCGGAAGCACCAACGTGGGCAAGAGCAGCCTGCTTAACATGCTCAATAAGATCAATCTGTCTGAAATATTCAATTATGCTAAATCTGACATGCCAAATATAATGGCTTTGTGTTTAGCAAAATCCTTGCTTCATACAGAATAGTGGTTCTCAACTGGTTTTGCTTCAGGATCTTGTGAATTTTTTTTACAATTTAAAATAGCTGTTTTTATATTTTAAGATGTAATTCATTACTGTGATGCAAAGCTGAATTTTTAGCATCATTTCTCCAGTCTCCAGTGTCACATGGTCCTTCAGAAATCACTCTAATATGGTGTTCAAGTAACATTTATTATTATCATCAGTGTTGAAAGCAGTGTTGGAGTTTACAAAATAAAAAAAATGACCACATTAGCAATAAACTGGATGTTGTTTTTCAATGCATTGAACTAAGTGTTTCATCTGTTGCAGTGGACGCAGCTTTTCGGCAGCTGCAGACTGATGTGGAAAATCACCTTTCAGATCAGCGGAGAGGAGAGCGTCTGCACAGCGGCGTTCAGGTGGGCATCGCCCGGAAGCACCAACGTGGGCAAGAGCAGCCTGCTTAACATGCTCAATAAGATCAATCTGTCTGAAATATTCAATTATGCTAAATCTGACATGCCAAATATAATGGCTTTGTGTTTAGCAAAATCCTTGCTTCATACAGAATAGTGGTTCTCAACTGGTTTTGCTTCAGGATCTGATTTTACACTTGATATTGTGTGTGTGGTGACCCAACAGCAGCATATTATCATACTGAAGTAAAAATAAAAATCCATAAAATCAAACACTGAAATGTATTTACTTAATAATAATTAATTAATTTACAAAACATAAGTATCTAAAAATATACAGAACTGTGCAAAAGTCTTAGTCCACTAGTATTTTCACCAACAAAAAAATGGTTTTAAGTCAGTTATTTCTATCTTTTGCTTCTGTATGTCAGTAGGAAAAATCAGTTACATTTCCAAATATTCCTTTTCCTATTAATTGTAATATTCCAGTGAGATTTTTGCTTGCAGAAGGAGTCTGACAGCAGCCAGTGCTCCACACAGAGATCTGATCTGATCATCATCCAGTCTATCTGTGATTACATGAAGAAACAGAACAAACTGAGACAGACTCAATCCAGAAGAACTGTGGCAACATCTCCAAGATGCTTCAAGAAACCTTCCTGCAAAGCTACCTGAAAAAATATGCGTAAGTGCCCTCAGACAAAAAGCTGTTTTAAACGTAAAGGGTGCTCACACCAAATGTTGATTTGATTTAGTTAAGAGAAAATAATTGATAAATCAAATCTATTTATGACATTATCTTTGAAAGCATCCTCACTTTACAGAATTCGTACACAAGTGCCTAAAACTTTTCACAGCACTGTAGCTTTGCAGGAAGGTTTCTTGAAGCATCTTGGAGATGTTGCCACAGTTCTTCTCGATTGAGTTTGTTTCAGTTTGTTCTGTTTCTTCATGTAATCACAGACAGACTGATGATGCTGAGATCAGATCTCTGTGTGGAGCACTGGCTGCTGTCAGACTCCTTGTGCAAACAAAAATCTCACTGAATTATTACAATTAATGACAAAAAGAGTGTTTGGAAATGTAACTAATATTTCCTACTGACACACTTCAGCGAAAGATAGAAATAACTGACTTAAAAGTTTTTTTTTGTTTTGGTGAAAATACTTAGACTTTTGCACAGTAGTGTATATTTATATATTATTTAATTATTAAATATATGACATATATATTTAATAATTAAATTATATAAACATATATCTGTATATATTATTAAATAGTAATATTTATTATAAATATTATTTTAACAATTTATGTCACATTTTTGAATTATTTAGTTATTTAAAATCCAATGAGTCACTGCACAAAGCACAGTTAGTACAAGCTGTTTATCTTTGCTGCACGTGAACCCACATTTAATCTGGATTGTATTTTCTTTTATTTTGAATAGTTTTGTTCATCGGCGTAATTTGGCATCTTCCAAAACAACAGATAAGTAAGTGCTGAAAGATTTTATTGGCTGTACTTGGCTGTACAGTCTTTGATGTCATGACACTGAAAATGAGAAGTGTTTTGTTTTCCCTAATGCATTATTATTTGCTTAAAAACTATGCACTATTATATTGTTAGTTGCTTTAAATGTTTTTTTTTTGCATTTAGCATTGTTTCGTCCAGCTGTCTGTGACTCTGTCAGAGCTGATAGGTTGGGATCCTGCAATTAAAAACCACTGGGTTTCAAACTTTTTAATGCCAAACTTTTTTCTGCAAATGGAATGTTTTTGCAAAAAAGCCAGCATTATATGTTCATGTATGAAAGCTGTGATAAAAATTGTGTGAATGTGTGATATTATAAAACAACCAAATTAAATACTTTTTTCAAAATTCAATAATTATATATATATAATTTTTTTTGAAGCAGCAAATCAGCATATTAGAATGATTTCTGAAGGATCATGTGACACTGAAGACTGGAGTAATGATGCTGAAAATTCAGCTTTGACTCACAGAAATAAATTACATTTTAAAATATATTCAGATACAAACTAGATTTAAATTCAGATTTAAAATACAAAAAAATATTTTAAATTGTAATAATATTTCACAAGATGATTATTTTTACTGTATTTTTGATCAAATAAATGTGACCATCTCAGTGACCATAAGAGACTTCTTTCACAATCACAAAAAAAAATCTGACAACCTCAAACTTTTGATCAATCCCAAGTGATTATGTTAGCTTTGACAGCCTTAAAAATATATATATTTATTTAAAAGAAAATGTTCCTTTCTAATTTTTTATGGATTCTATAGCATCTTTTGCAGCTCCCTAGACATTATTGTTTGTTTTTTCAACTTATAAGAAACATATTTTCTGCTGTTCTACTGTTCGTTCTTTTGTTCACACCAGCATTTTTATTCATTTGGGCAAGTTAGTCAGGGAGTAGCTGAGTGAACAAAACACTGCATCAGAACACATATCATGTTCTTGCTTAAAAATGGTTGAACTGATTTTAGTGGGTGAAAGGGTCACATTGTCTTATGACAGAAGGTTAATGGTTGTGATTAATGCACATTATCATGGACACTCATAAAGTGACACCGTACGGCCTTTAATGATGTTTATCTCTGACCTCTGACCTCTTCAGTAGCAGAAGGGGATGTCTGGATATCACCGAACTTCCTGCTCTGAATTACCCCACATTCATCAGGCCTGTTTTTGTTTGCAGCGCTGGAACGCTGACCAATTTCTGGTGTCACTTCCTGTGTAGTGTATAATTTAATTAAGCATCTTGTGAATTAAAACTAAAATCGGAGTGAGAATTCAGCATGTCAGCATGAATTCAGCATTTGAAGAATTTGGTTTGCAGCAAACATGAAATTTAAAATTGGTTGATTTTAGGATTGGTAAGCTATATAAACTCTTGAAGGAAGTTCACACAAAGAGCACTTGAGTGAAACTGGCCTCTTCCTTCCAGTGGACGTATGGAAATATACTCTAATACCAGACTCTACCAGAATGGCAACAACAGTGAAACGTTTCTTCAAACTTTCATCCTCTCAAGGGAGCTGTAGTGGTTTATTGTGTTGATATATGTGCAGTTATTTTGGTTCAGCGCTGAGCAGCAGAGAACAAAAGACAAAAGGACAAGAGTTGCCGAAGTTGTCTTATTTAAGTATTTATTTAAGTGTTCAAAGTGCTTTATTATATAGTTATTCAATTCCATAGCTAACATGCCGTTCAGAATAAGACCAAATATAATAAGATAATAAAAGGATTCAATGATACGGTGCCCTGCTAATGAATAAAACACTTAAATTTGACAGAAAATAACATCTTTAAGATCTTGCCTATATGTTTGCTTGTTAAATAAAAAATAAAACTCATCAGACCATAATTTGACACTATGGTCTCTTATGCAGCAAATGGTTTATCTAATGATGATTTTATATTATAAAGAAATAATTCATTCAAGGGTGCTTGCCAAATAAATAAATGCACATTAAATATTGATGGCATTCGTTATATAAAAGATTCACAGAATGGTGCGATTGACCGATCAGTATTTTAAAGGATACCGGTAACACTTTACAATATGGTCTCATTTGTTAACCTTAACTAATGCATTAACTAAGAGAAGTCTTTTACTTGCCATTTCAGAATTCACTTCCTGAAAGGATTGTTTATTTTGACAGAAACGTATAGAATTATCCGTTTTTAAGAGGATTTTTTTTTTACAGGATTGATGCATAAATTAAGGAGACAACTTTTTAAAAGTTCTCCCAAAAATGAAAATACATCATTTACTAAACCTTCAGTTATTCCAAACCTGTACGAATTTGGTTAATCTTCGAAACACAAATTAAGATATTTGTAATGAAATCTGAGAGGTTTCTGTCCCTCCACTGAAAGTCAAGGTAACCAAAACTTAAAGGGGTCATATGATGCGATTTCAATTTTTCCTTTCTCTTTGGAGTGTTACAAGCTCTTGGTGCATAAAGAAGATCTGTAAAGTTGCAAAGACTAAAGTCTCAAATCCAAAGAGATATTCTTTATAAAAGTTAAGACTTGTCCACGCCTACCTAAAACGCCTCGTTCTAACACGCCCCCACATGTCTACGTCACAATGTGGGAAGATTTGCATAACACCGCCCAAATGTTGATGAAAAGAAAGAAGGCGTAACTTTTATTCTCGCTGTTGCCACCGCTGCCATGTCGTGAAGGCGCTGTGTGCTTCGTTGTGAAAGCGAAACTACTTTGTTTGGTCTTCCAAAAGAGGACGATATCTGCTTCGTCATGCCTGGAGCTGATCCGTGCTGGTCGCTGAGGAAATACATCAACTTCGCACTGTGGATCGCCAGATCGGCTTTCACCGTGGACGAAGCGGAGTCCAGCCCGGGGTCGTCACATGTGGTTGCCGCAAGCCCGCTGGACGCTCCTTCATAGAATCTGCCGTCCGCGCTGTTCTCAAGCCGCTGTGTGTTTCGTTGTGAAAGCGAAACTACTTTGTTTGGCCTTCCAAAAATGGACACGACTAGAAATCAGTGGTTAAGTTGTATTTACAACACTGTTCCAGAACAGTTCAACCCAAATATTCAGATGTGTGCAGCGCATTTTATGGAGGACTGTTTCCTGAACCTGCAGAGTAGATGGGTCTGTGGCTCAAAGGCTGTTCTATAAAGTGGGGCAGTTCCAACTTTGCAAGGACAGTCTGGCACTTCTGACAAGACTGTAAGTAAATTTTTTATATTTAAAGAATTTGCCACTGACGATTCAAACGCGAGTTTTAAGCAATGTAGAGTAGCGCTTGTTGTTTGTCGTTTCTCCGATCACAAATGCAGACATGGTTTTATGTTTACGCGGCGCGATACGCAACGCGTAAAAAGACATTATAAGTCATTATAATCAGTAATTATATCCCCACTGGATGCAACAAATGCCTCGTTTGTAATGGGTTTTATTGGTTTTGTCTCGTCGCTCCGGGACACGGCATCACAGTATGGTGAGGGGCGTAACATTTCCGTCACATGCTTGAGGTATTCAGCCAATCATAACGCACTGGATAGCTGGCCAATCAGCGCACACCTCGCTTTTCAGAACGATGAGCTTTGTAAAAATCAACGCATTTCATAGAGGAGCAACAATAATGTACAGTATGTGGAAAATAATGTATTTTTTTAACCTTAAACTGCATAAACACATTGCATTACACCAAATACACAACATAACGTTCTTTTTAGCAACGTCATGTGCCCCCTTTAAGAGATCCAAATAGGTCATTGTAAAGACATTGTAAAATCGAACAGTTTAATCCAATGTATGTCTTGTGAAGATATACGATTGTTTTATATTATGAACAGGTTTGATTTATTCATTTAAAATTTTATTTGAACTATCCCTAATTGCACAAATGGGTGGGAAAAAGTCCATATACTTAGACCAAGCCACAAATTTGCTTCCTTCACTTTTGCTTCAAAGGTGGTGAACTTTGTTTTTGCCTTTTGAACTCTTTCAAATCTAATTTTAAGCTTCATTTTTAGGAAGATGTTTCCTTATCAAAAAAATGCATATGTTCCTGCCCATGCATATTATTTGCCCATCACTGTAACACTGGTCTGTCAGATGTCACGTTTACAGGATGTGAACTTTGTGTTGCTTTTGTGTGCTTTCAATCATCACATTTTAAATATAGTAAATCTTGGTTTTCTCGAAGTCTTGTGCATCTCCCTTGGTAATACCTTTGCCCTCCATCCTGAGAAGTTAAATATTTCTGAGAAGCCTGAGTCTAAGAACAAAATGTCTCACGGGCCCCCAACATCTCAACTCTTAAAGGAGAAATCATGAACTAGTTTATTGTCCTTGGAAGTGCAATATGAGCATTGAAGTATGGCAAGCCGTCTTAACGTTTAATCTGTTAAAATGTACTAGTATCTATTTTCATGATATTAGTACTTATTTTCTGTCTATTAGTATCTGTTCAATTAAGTACCAGTACTTATTCATTAGCTACTAGTGCTTATTCTTTGGCTTCTTGTAACTTTTTAAAAATAATAAATAGTTTATTATTTACTAGTACTTATTTCATTAGTTACTAAAATCTTTTTAAACATTACTAGTTAGTATTCATTATTTATTAAATACTAATACTTTTCATTAGATACTAGTATCTATTTAATAGGTACTAGTAGTTATTTATTAGGTACTAGTTCTTTTCTTAGACACTAGCATATTTTGTAGGGATGTCCTGATCAGGTTTTTTGTATATTCCCAGTTCTTGGTTCACACTTCAAGTTAACGGTATACATTTATTAAAATCAATCCAATTTATACAGGGACATGCAGATTTCTCAGGGACAGGGGCTCAAATGTAAAAAATAATATATAGATATAATATAAAAATAAAAAGAATTTATTTATATATACAGTATATATATATATATATATATATATATAT